ACACACACACACACACACACACACACACACACACACACACACACACACACCCAGCAAACTCAGTAGATCTCTATCAAGAGAACAGTGTCTATGAGGACCTCATCTCCACCTGGTGGAGCTAGATTCAGGGGTGAAGGGTAATCTTGAACTTCCAAACACCCTTGAAAGATGTGAGGCCAGATTGTCCTCTCACACCCAATTTAAACAAACAGCCTGGCTCCTCTGGAGCAAGCGTAACTCCTGACTGCTTCTCATCGTCACCGCTCCCCTGCCATGCCAGGGCATAGGACACCTTCACTGCTGCTCCCATCTGTGAAATAAGACACAGGCTTGGAGACAAGCACCTGCTCAGGACCACCCTGGTCGCCCATGGTTCCTCCCCTCTATGCCTGGCCGCCTGCGGACTGATAAAGCAGGAAATTAGTGCTACCAAGAGGCCAAAGATCTTCCTAACTCCATTTTTAAAATGAAAAACGTAGCCCATAGAGTCCAAGTCCCCATCTGACGCCAGAGCAGGTCAGCAGCAGGGAGAACCTGTTCTCTATAACAAGGAGAGCTGACTTTTTATTTTTCTTTTAAGACATGGTCTCATGTACCCCAGGCTAGCCTCAAACTTGCTATGTAGCTGAGGATAACCTTGAATTTTCGATCCTCCTGATTCCATTTTCAGAGTGCCAGGCCAGGGTTATAGATATGTGCCACCACTCCTAGTTTATGCGATGCTGGAGATGGAATCCAGGCTTCATACATGAAAAGCAAGAGCACACTAACTGCTACACCTCCAGTCCTGAAACAGACCAGTGCTGTGTTCTAGTTCTTGTTGGTTTTGTTTTAGTTGTGCTCTTCTGTTGTTGTTGGGGTTTTTTTTGGGGGGGGGGGGGGTGTTTTGGTTTTGGTGTGTGTGTGTGTGTGTGTGTGTGTGTGTGTGTGTGTGTGTGTTTTGCTAGGAATTCATGTAACCTAACCTGGCCTTGACAATGCTCTGTAGCCAAGCCTGGCCTTGAACTCCAGATCCTACTTCAACCTCCTAAGTGCTGGGTTGCATGAGTCCCACACCTGGCTAGAGGTTAGCTTCATTGCATTCTGTCCTGGAGCAAGGTGATGGGCATGGCTTGCTCACCTTGGACTGAAGGGTGTGGGGTCCTGAGAAATTCAGGTGGGAAAGCAGAAAAGCCTAGCTGTCTCCTACTCCATCCACATTCAATCCCACAGACATGGCTAAAGGGGTGTTTTCTAAGATGCAAACTCTGGGGATGAAGCCAATTGAGATCAATTTTACAAGGTCCTTTCGAATTTGGGGGCTTCATGTGTGTGACACCCATGGACCATCCATGTGTCACCTCCGTGGCCCCTCAAATTGGTCCATGGTCCAGCATCCTTCCTCACGGCCATTCCATCTGCCCGATAGCTAAAGTGCGCTCTCTCGTCTAAAAATCACAGCACCCTGACTAGTTCACCAGCTAAGTAAGTCCTCATTTTCCCATTACTTTAGGACAAACTAGAGACTTTGCAGGTCCAAGGCTTGGACCTGGCTCCCTTGAGACTCCAACAGGGTAAGGATCACCTTGCACCCATATCCTTCCTTCCTCATTTAGATTCTTAGCGCCCCTCCCGTTCCTTCCAGTAGCAACATAGTTCTAATCAAGGACCTGTCGATCTGGTCACCTAGTTATCATCCCCTTGGGGCTGGTAGAGTGCTTGCTGCTTAAGTGTGAGGACCTAAATCCACCCCTAGTAACACATAAAAAGCTGAGCATGGTGGCACACTTACAACCCCAGAACTAAGGAGGCAGAGACAGATGACTCTGGCCCGGGGCTCCCTGGCCGGCCAGGCTAGGCTAATCAGTAAGCTCAAGTGCCCAGTGCAAGACCCTGTCTCAAAAAGTAGCTTTGAGAAATGACACATGTGCCTGGCCTCTGACCTACCCATGTACACACACGTGCACACACGCACGCACGCACGCACGCACGCACGCACATCTACACATATGAACTGAGTATCTAGTCTCCCCCAGCCTTGTCAGCCATATCCCCAGACTGTCCATCCAAGGGGCCGACAAGTCTCTGATGCTCACTCCTGTTTCACAGCCCCTGTGGATGTTATGTGGATGACATTCTAGAGTCATCAAAAGGTCCCACCAATACCACCCTCACTGCTCCATCTGAGTCAGAGAAACCCTCTACACCCACCAGGGTCTCCTGTCCTCATTTCTGTCTGGCAGGTCATCCTGATATCACAAGATGGAAGATGATCCCAGAGAAAAGACAAGGTCTGACGGGACATCTGAGGTCTGATCTGTCTTCAGTGATTATACCTAATTTGTCTACCCCTCTTAGCTCCGTTCAGATCCCTATCCCAGCGCTCACTTGGTGTTTGGGGGACCATGAGCCTCAGAGTTGACGTAAAGATAGCTCACTGGCTTTTGCAGTAATCAACACTGAAAGTGTTCATTCCTTGCCTTGCCGCCAAGGTAATAATAAAACTCACAGCCTCATTACTTGCTTGTTGGCTAATTCCCTTGTTCTTGTTTTCCTTCCCCTTTTCTCAAATGAATTCCTGAGTTCTTCCAGATTTCTCGTTGCTAAGCTATAAAGTTCCAGGTTTTGCAGCCTTGCTGCTCATTGGTGGAGAGTTCCTGGGCTGCTCCAACCAGAAAGAGGCTCCAGAGAAAAGCATTCACCCTAGGAACTGCGAAATTTCTAGCAGTTGATGTCATTGTAAAGGTCTTTGTCTAGCTCTGTGGAATCTGCTGTACTCTTGAACTGACTAAGGAGAGACATAGAGGTTCTAGAATGTTCCCCCCAGGAAGATGAGAGACCATGGATGGACACTGTGACCTCCTCCCCTGTCCACCTCCCAGCCCGGTCAGTGACAGCAGGAGGCCCAGGAAACTGGTGGCACTGAACTTGGGGCACTTGGAATGAGGGGTTCATTTGCAAAGGACCTCTGAATTCCTAAGCCGAAGTCATCCCCAGTCCTTTAGCAGTTGGGACAATAAGGACTGTCACAGGTGACTATAAAGGACTATAAAATGTGTAGATGGAAGAGCATTTACCTCAGCAACCATAACAGCCTGCCTCCTCCCATTCAGAAGCTGCCCTGGACATCTGGAGACCATGAGAGATGGCTGTGGACTTTAGCTTCCTTCTTTCAGAAAGAAGGAAGTCATATGATCCAGACAGGCTCTAAGATAGTCACATGACCCAGATAGGCCAATCAGAATTTTCTCTGAGACTTGCCAGCCAGAGCTATAGGAGAAGACCTCATGCACTGCACTGACTGTGAAATGTGTGGAAGGTATTTGAGAATATAGAAATCCTTAAAAGATATAGAGCCCCTGAGCTCCAGCTGTGGGTAAGCAGATCTATGTCTCACATCTAGCAGTGTGTGTGTGTGTGTGTGTGTGTGTGTGTGTGTGTGTGTTGCTAAGAAACGAAACATATAGATTCACTACATAGTGCTTGGCTGAATGTCAGGTGATGTGCATACAGTTCATGTAACGTCCTTGAGATCACCTAGTGTGTTACTACATTTTGCAGACTGAGAAACTGAGGATCTGAAGGGTACAGGAGCCTTGCCCAGGGGACATTGTCACTGTGTGTTCAGGGATTCCAACACGTGCTAGCTAAACCTTAGCAAATTCAACCTGATGTCTCATGATGTAATGTCACATGCCCACCTTTGGGAACCTCTTGAGACTTGGTCAACTCCCACTAGGTTCCACCCAGCTCTCAGATTTTGACAGTTTCCTGCACCCATCATCCCATCATTTATTCCCAATTATGAGATGAGTCTGTTGTAGAAGCTACTTCATTACCATCTGGACACAGGGTGCCCTCCACCATGTTAAAATGCAGTGAGACCATATGAAAGCAGAGCAGACACCATGCTCATGAGCATCTCACCTTCCAGGACTATGAGCTAAATAAAAAATTTCTTTTTAAATAACCTGAGTATTTTTATAGCAGCAGAGAGCTGACTGAGGCGGCTAGCTTCCTGTGGGACGAGTGTCGTGAGTGCCGGCAAGCAGGGCACTAAGCAGAAGATTCTCAGTGACAAGTGGCCAGAGTTCCAGGGTCCTGGGTAACCAGGTATGCTGTAAAAGCAGGGATTGTCGGCACCAAGTGGGTGCATCCCTTGGGATTCCCAGCTCTTGGCCCTGTAGGAGTCATGTAGTTCTGCCTTCCTTCAAATCATGTGGCTACCCTTCCAGAGCCTGAAGAGAGCATTGTTCATTCTCAGGATAAACTGCCAAAGCCTTGCATTTTTACCGGTGGTTGTCTCCTCATCTGCTTCTGTTTTGTCTTCCATGCTGGTTAAATCATGTCCCATAAGCTTTCATCCAATCAAAACTCCAGCTGCCAGGCAGTGGTGGCACACACCTTTAATCGCAGCACTCAGGAGGCAGAGGCAGGTGGATCTTTGTGAATTCAAGGACTGCCAGGGCTGCAAAGTGAGATCCAGGACAGCCAGGGCTACACAGAGAAACCCTGTCTCAAAATCAAAAAAAGAAAGAAAAAAGAAATAGCATCTTAATAATTTTTTTTAAAATTTACTCTGTGTGAGTGTGTTGCCAGGGTGGATGGATGTGCCCCATGACTGGTATCTAAGAGGCCAGAAGAGGGTGTCAGAGCCACTGGGACTGTGGCCACCATGTGATGGTTGTGAGCTGCCATGTGGGTGCCTGGAATTGAATTTGGTTCTCTGGGAGAGCAGCCAGTGCTCTTAACCACTGAGCCATCTCTCCAGCCCCCAGAAATAGCATCTTTGTAGATGTAATCAAACAAGGCCACCCTGGACTGTGGTGGGTCTGACCTTAGAAGAATGGGAGCCAGGAGCGGTGAGTGGCTCACACCTTTAAACCAAGCACTTGCGGGGCAGACACACATAGATTTCTGTGAGTCAAGGCCAGCCTGCTGTACTTAGCAAGCTCCAGGTAAGCCAGGACTAGTGAGATCCTGTCCAAAAACAAGGGAGGGAGGGAAGGGGTGGAGCATAGAGACTCACAAGCCAAGGCTGGAGGGATGCAGCCACAGGCTATGTGGGATGAACACGAGTGAACCCCCAGAAGCTGGGAAGAACTAGAAGGCCTTTCTCTGAGGCCAGCAGAGGGAGTGGGCTCTGAGCCTCTGGAACACTCTGAGTTAGATTTCATTTTGAAATCACAAGGTCTGTGTAGTTTGAACAGCAGCTGTAGAAGCAAACACACATCCATTCTTTCTCTCTCCACCTGTCCCCTACCCCTGCCTCTCCCACATCCAGGGTCACTTGGTACAGAAAAAAACCTTGTCAGTTATCAGGTGGTAACAGCCCCACCCACTACAGATCCCAATGGTTTCCACAGCTCGAGAAGACAGACCTGTCCCCAGCCTGGCCACAGCAGCCTTTGGGGACAGGCGCTGGCTGGGTAGGGTGAGGGGTTGTCAGACCCTAACCCAGAGCACAGGAAGTAGACTCTGCTCTTAGAGGAAGCCCCATGACTTTCCATCCTCAACCACTCCCGGGCCCAGTACCCCAAGGAAAGAATGTCCGCAAACTAAACTCCCTCAGCTCCAAGCCAGGCTGTGACCGGCACAGTTAGCTTGGGTTGTTTCTGCCGCTGCTGTTGTTTAGTGGGTTGTTTCTTTGTTTGAGACAGAGTCTCACTATGTAGCCCTGGCTGGCCTAGAACTTGGCTCTGTGAACCAAGCTGGCCTCAAACTCAGAGATCTGCCTGCCTCAGTCTAAGTGCAGAGATTAAAGGCGTGTCCCGCTGGTCTGACTTTGGCTCTGTTTTAACGTGACTCTCTGGAGAGGTATTGTAGGCTATGCTAGAAAGAGAGAAAAACTGCCTATAATCTTTCACACTCAAAGTCCAAGGAACAGTTTGGCCTACCCTCTTCCCAGACCAAGACAGATGACGGAGCATAAGTAACAGATCAGGGCGCTTTACAAATCAAGGTATTTGAATTCAACACCAAGCTGCGGTTTACTGTAAACCCCATGGGATAGCGAGATTTACTGTTAACCTCGAAAGCCATTCACCTCCACCCAGTAGCCAACTTTCCACTCCAGCTGCCTTGGTAAAAACAGTGGTTCTCGCCTGATGACTGCGTTCTAGGAGATCAGTAGAGTAAAAAACACTACAGACTCTGCATGTAACACACTTTCATTCTCACCACTAACTCTACAAAACAGATGTTCTAAGACCTAGTTTGCTGACTGTGGTGGTATTGTGTTCCCCAAAATATTATGTACCCTAATAAACTTATCTTGGGTCGGAGAACAGAAAAGCCACTAGATACAGAGGATAGGCAGTAGTAGCAACACGCCTTTAATCCTAGCATTCCAGAGCAGAGATCCATGTGTTCAAGGATACAGCCAAGCATGGTGACTCACGCCTTTAATCCCAGGGAGTGGTGGTAGAAAGCAGAAAGATATATAAGGCGTGAGGACCAGGAACAAGAAGCTTTTGGCCTGGTTAAGCATTTGGCCTGGTTAAGCATTCATGCTTTTGAGCAGCAGTTCAGCTGAGACCCATTCTGGATGAGGAATCAGAGGCCTCCAGTCTGAGGAAACAAGACCAGCTGAGGATCCGGCGAGGTGAGGTGGCTGTGGCTTGTTCTGGTTTTCTGATCTTCCAGTTCACCCCAATAGCTGACAGTGAAGGTGCAGAGGGGCCAAGATGTGGGCCAGCCCTCACACCCATGTGGTGGGTTAAACAAGCCAGAAATACCTCTTCCTCTGCTCACAATGAGGTGAAGTCTGTTTCCCACTCCTCTGCATCTAGGCTCTTCTCTCAGTGTTTCTACTGATAGGATGTTCTAAAAGCTTCTGTTCTCTTGACTTAGAATGCTGGGTAAGGACGCCGGTCTCACCTATTAAAAGATGCAAGACCTTCTGAAGAAATGAGAAAATTTAGTCAGTAGCTGGTGTCAACTGTCATTTCAAAGTGGTAAAGGTCACTGTGGACCCTGTAGCCAGCCATGGCCATGGGCAACACCAGGCGTATTCAGCTGAGGAACCATCCAGTTGGTGTGCAAAGCCATTCATACTTGGCTGTTTTAAACCATTCTAGTTTGGGAATTGTCTGTTATGCAGGAAATCCAACAAATACATTATAAAAGGCCATGCTGGGGTTTCAACCATGGTCTCCCACTATCAGGATCTGAACCTTTCAAAAGCAGTCTATGGTCCCAGAGCTTGAAAAAGATGCTCAAGCAGGGAACCTCCAGGAGACAGATGCCAGCGAATGCTGCCATCTGTGTGATGGGCACCATTCCACGTTAGTTCTCCAGGGCACTGATCTAAACGATTCATTTTAGAAGCAGCTACTGCTGGCTACCAGAGATGGGGGGATGCAGTACATGCTCTCTGGTCTCACGAAGCCTGAAATTTGGGAGATAAGTAGACAAAAGTGAGCCAGTAACCCCCGTGCATGCTGTTCATTCCAGGTCCTCTGCTCCAGTGTCCCCACCGTGGTCCAGACTATCAGCTGCCACTTCATTCACCTTCACCTTTGGATCTGCCCTAGATGGCTCATCTTGCCAAACTTCACACTGAAACCACTGCCAGTGATATCGTACGATGTGAGCTTTGTGCAGTTGAGGGGCAATGTCTTTCCTGTCCTTGCGACTACTCTCTCTAGACTGAGTCAAATGCCTTGAGAGCTGATCATGTGCCTCCTTTTGCCATTCTTTTTTCTGCTATGGGATGAAGAATTGGGAGGCTCTCTTCTGGACCATGCACTGGCCTTTCAAACTCTGAGTCAATTTAAACTTCCTCTCTTAGCTGGGCAGTGGTGGGGCATGACTTCAGTCCCAGTACTCGGGAGGCAGAGGCAGGCAGATCTCTGTGAGTCCCTTCTCTTCCTTCTCTTTCATGTTACAAAGTCTCAGGTAATAACAGAAAGCAGACTAAGATAGTCTCCATCCAGAAACCGGGATGATTTCTTCTATGGAAAACCAGGCTTTGTCACTCCTATTTTTACCCACAACAACCTCCATTGGGGGTCTAGTAAGATCCAAGTTCTCATCCAGGCCTGGGAGTCCACATGACCAGACCAGCGCCTGCCATTCTCTCATAGCCCACTCTGTTCCTGCACAGATAGATACCTAATCTGTTCCTCTCGCACACAGCTCTTTCCTGACCCTGGGCCTTTGCACATGCTGTTCTTCTACCTGGATGCTCTTCCCCTGTGTTTCTGCAGGGTTGATGCTTTCTGATTCTGTGTGTCCACATGATGGCTTTTGCCCCACCCACAGAATGGGCACTCCGTAAGGTGAGGACTTTTCCCTTTCCGAAACATTTGCCAAAGGCGGGCTCTGCATGTGCTCAAGGCCCAGTGGGCATTGACCGTTTGCATGTTTGCTTACAAACGACTACTGGGGTGACCAGGTCCTTATCTGCACATATGGTTCTGAGCCACATTGAGACATGAGGCGTTTGCAGCCATTCTCCACCCCAGCCAAGTTCCCATGTGGCAGTCTGGAAAGGAGTACACTATGCAGCCTTCGTGTCTACACGTCCAAACACCGTTTTCTGAGAGCCTGAGAAGAAATGGAGCCACAGCTGTCACCAGAGCTAAGTCACCTCGGGGCCCTTGGTCCACCACTTGGCAAGACTCTTCCAGATCTGCAGACTTTCTGACCAAGTCTGAAAGCTCCTGTCTGCACAGAATGTGAGTAATGCTGAGAAGTCCCTTCTTCCAGCTCCAGTGGACACTGATGCATGCTGGGAAATTCAAACCTCAATCAAATGTGAACTTTTGCTTCTCCCTTTTCTCCACAGATGTGGGGTGGCCCAGCAGTCACTCAGCAGGTTTGACAGATATAGGTGATGGACGCCTCTCCACACTCCTGATCCCACCCCACCCCGAGACAGCCAAAGCTGCTTCTTCATCACACAGGGACTCCTGTCCTGACACATTCCCGTAGGCTATGATGGTCTGTGAGCTGTGCTCCCTCGGGCAAGTCACTCACCCTCTCCAGTCCTCAATCCCCCTCCCCCAAAAAAAGATCAGAAGGGGCTGGCATGGTGGTGCACGCCTTCAATCCCAGCACTTAGGAAGTAGAGGCAGGATCTCTGTGAGCTCAAGGCTAGTCTGGTCTACATAGTTCCAGGACAGCCAGGACTGTGTGGAGAAAACTTGTCTCAAGAAAGGGAGGGAGGGAGGGAGGGAGGGCGGGCCAGAGAGGTGAGAGCCCCTTCCCCAGTACCCACAGAGGACCTGAGAGCAGCCCCAGGCAGAGCGTCCTCAACAGATGCAGCCACTTCTGTGGTGTGCCCAGAGCCTAGCTGAGTAAATGTCTAAAAATATATTTTATTGGATTTTCCTTTAAAGCTTCAGAAGCAATACTCACCCCTGAAACACGCCAGTCAGCCGAGAGGGGATGGAAGACCTCGCAGCTCCCCAGATACCCTCTGCATGATGTTCCCCGGAAGAACGGCTTGGCCCTTTCTCCTTCCGGCTGAGCCTCTCGAGCATGCGCGTTCTCTTTTACTCGCACGTCTCTCGAGTGTGCCCTTCGTTCACTTTTACTCTCACGTCTCTCGAGCGTGCCCTTCGTTCACTTTTACACGCATTTCCCAGGTTAATGCAACCGACTGTTCCCCAGGGGCTGTGGAGCTCAGTGCTTCCCTGCTGCTGCTGCTGCGGCACGTGGGCCGCCGGGGGCCGCCGTCTCAGTGCTTCCCGGCTCAGCAAAGCAGCCGGACCATTTCCTTCTCTATCACAGAGCCCCTAGAATGTGCTCACCGGGTCAAAGGATGCAGTTTCAGTTTGGGTTTTTAATGAAAGGGGTGGCTGTGTAAGTGTGTGTTGAATGATTCTGAATAGCTCTGAATTTATTTGGCTGCCTCCAGGAAGGCTCAGATGACCTTGATAGCAGACAGGACAGACACCCATTCCTGTTCGTTGTTGATCTTTTCCCTTTTCTGTCTTCCTTCCTTCCTTCCTTCCTTCCTTCCTTCCTTCCTTCCTTCCTTCCTTCCTTCCTTCCTTCCTTCCTTCCTTCCTTCCTTCCCTCCCCTCCTCTTCCCTCCCCTCCATTCCCCTCCCCTTCCCTCTTTTGTTCCTTTCTGTTTGGGACAGGGTCTCACTATGCAGCTGTGGTTGGCCTGGACTTTGCTGTGTAAACCATGCTGGTCTCCATAGAGATCTGCCTGCCTTTGTTTCCTGTGCTGAGATTAAAGCATTGTGCTGCCACACCATCTTTTTCTCTTTGCCGTACTGGGGATTAACCAGGGCTAGTAAGCACTCTGGAACTGAACTACCCTTCACCTTCTTCTTACCTTAATTTTGAGGTAGGGTTCTAGTAAGTTTCCCAGACTGGCCTTCAGCTCACTGTGCAAGCCCAGGCAGGCCTTGAACTCATGATCCTCCTGGTTCAGCTTCCTGAGCCGATGGATGGCAGGCATTGTTCCTGTTAATAGTAAGAATGTGGTTCATCCTCGAAGAAAGTGTGCTCACCTCTTGTCCTAGCTAGAACTTTAGAGGTGAAGGCAGGAGGACCAGAAAAGCCCAGGTCACCCTTGGGTACATAGAGAGCTCAAGGCTGGGCCACATGAGACCTGTCAAAAAAACCAAAAGGACAGATGATGTTAGCAGAGGTAGGGAGGGAGTGGGGAGGCCCAGTCCTGGCTGGGGTAGTGCCCCTGCTAAGGACACGCGACATTCCTTAGTGCCAGCTTCCTCTTAGGATGCAGAGGAAGGGTTGCTGGCTCATCGCGGCCCTGGAGGAGGGCGCTCACTGCAGAGTTAGCGGGGCAGAGGCCGTCATTTTGGCAGTCTTGGTACCCCTCAACTCAAGCAGGCTTCTTCACCCCATGCCCTCACCCGCACTGACTTCTGGCAGCCTCCTCTCCCCGGTTTGGCCACCCAAAGCCTGGGCTAGTGAGGTGACTCTTCAGATAAAGGCGTTGCCAGCTAGCCTGATGACCTAAGTTCGATTCCTGGGGTCCACATGGTGGAGGGAGAGAACTGACTATGACCTGTACAATGTGTATTGTGAATGGGCTTATATGCCCATACATTCTCTCACACACACAATAAACACATGTAATGGATGGATGGATGGATGGATGGGTGGATGGATGGATGGATGGGTGGATGGATGGATGGATGGATGGATGGATGGATGGATGGATGGATGGATGGATGGATGGGTGGATGGATGGGTGGATGGATGGGTGGATGGGTGG